TTGTAACAAGAGTACACATGTGTATGTTAAAGCTTTAGCAACAATTTAAATATTGTTTGTAAAAAAAAAAACTATGTGTAAGCTATATGTATATTCATTTTTGTTTTCTGAAAAATTATTGTTCTTTTTAATTGAGATTGGAAGTTAGCATCTCATAAAATTCACATTCCAATCTTTTTTTGCCATCTTGAATATATAATAAGTATCAAAATATTCTAACTACAGAGGCTGGGGATTTAGCTCAGCAGCATAAGCGCCTGCCTTGCAAGCAGGCAGTTCTGAGTTCGATCCCCAGTACCGACAAAAAGAAAAAGACCGAAAAAAAAAAAAATTCTAATCATGTTTTTAAAATTTAAATAAATGCTCTTCTCTTATATATGTTACATATTTACACATTAAATCTGCATTTTTATATAGAATGGAGATGATAGTGCTTGAAAGAAATACTGGACAAATCAGTAGTGATCAAATTAACCTAAGTAGCCAATTCTTGAGCCAATTTAGGGATGATGAAAAGGTAAACTGTAACAGCCTGTTTTAGGTCCTGTTCAGAGGCATTCCTCTCACCTGAAGGCCACCTGTGTTAGGAAAATTGTGTTACAATCAAACTCCTTTAAAATGCCAATAAAAATTCAAGTAAAGAAGAAATCGTTTCTTTGTTCCTTTTTATATTTGGAAGAAAAAAGGTCAAATTTTTTTTAAGAGAAAACATAAATCTGGAAGTAGTGAACTTTTACTATCTGAGAATTTAATTATATCACGGCTTGTTTGATGTTGTATAGATTTCTTTTCTTTATAGATTTTTTTAAATAGGAAGGACAGAAAAATTTGTGTTTATTCAAGTCTATTCAGAATAACCTTTTATGTGAAAATCATCTGCTAATAATGTTTATGAATTTTCTTAGTGCTTGAATTTTATCAGCAATAAGTCATTGCATAGGTTTTGTACCCTAACTGTAGAATTGTTGATAGGAATAGCAAAAAAACTCAGCCAATCATGCATTTCCTTCAAAAGGACATTGGTAAATTATACACTGTTGCATGGGAATTTTACTATAACTTCAAACTTAAGAAAATTAGTAAGTTCTGCAGTATTTGTTACATACATCATTAAAGATAATTTTTGTTCCTTCATATAAGTATTCCTCATAAAATTCTAACTAAAGCAATTTAGAGATGATACTATAATTGTTGAAAATGAATTAGTTTTTCAGAAGATATAAGCACCTTTAGAAAATAGTATAGTAAGCAAGATCACCTTTCCAGTTATATTCACAAAGTTTCACAATATCTTCTGGTTTTCCACATCTAAAAGTTTAAGGTTATTTCATTACCACACAAATTGGTTAGTACGGAAATCCCGCAGAGGGTATGAGTCTAACCCTCCTGGAAACGTGGCACAGAGTGAAGAAAGACGTAGAGAAAAAGCTCTGCAGTTGAGGAGCTCTGGGATGACCCAATGTTCTCTGCAGAACAAAAGACCCCGCGTCCAAATTCATGGCTTCATTGGTATCAATGAGGGAGGTGGTTAGGGTCACTGGCAGAGTGCAAAGGGAGAAGAAACTTTGTAGCCCTGCCAGGTAGCAGTGTACAGATAGCTTTGATGCTTGCAAGACTGGCACTTTTACTGCAAGAAGGTATAATTGTTTGAGTCCCAAGGCCTCAGCTGAGATGCTGACCCATGTTTTAGCCTGGAATCTCCTTGGAGCATCCATTCCAGCTGTCCACTTGGAGGCTGTTCTCACCTTTGCTATTGCTGGGGCCACCTTTGCCTTGGCTGGACTGGATAACATTCTTTTAGTCAGTTAAGCACACGTTTGTTTCAATGTAGCAGGCTCTGCTATCTCAGTGAATAGGGTGAAGAAGAGGTCAGAGAGAGATCCTGGCCAGGCCTTCTTCTCTCAGGAGAGAGCAGCACAGCAGTCTCCCACAGAGTAGGGTATCTGTTAGGGGATTTTCAGTATACTCGTGCAGTATCACTTGGAATATGGCAGCCGCTTAAATATGAGTCTCTGATGCACTCTGGGGCAAACATCAAGTTCTAATGGCAGTGCAGGCTGTCAGCTCCGTGAGCATTCTGTGTCCTGTTTTAGATGAGAACAGTGGAAAAATGCTTAGAGAAAAACTGCTTGGAAGAGGTTAGGTTCCATGTTGCACTCTTTGCCACTTGTGTGTTTACATGTAAAGAAAAGAAGTCCTGTGTATTCTTTGTTAATACAAAAAACAATTTTGAGGCTATTATCTCAAGAATAGCTTTGCTTTTTCATTTTCTTTATAAAGGATGTTAGCCAGATCAACAGACCGTTTTTATTAAGTAATAGTTTTGCTAGTTCTCAGTGTATGTAATTTATTTTATTGGGGATGGTGGAGGGCCAGATCACCGGTGACACTTCCTAGTCCGCAATGACCTTATGTCACAAAGGTTTTCTGTTCTGTGATTGACTGCTTGAGGGCTGATGTAGCTCCAGAAGATTCAGATTTATGATTTATGAGGCCCTCTGACGTTCTGGCCAGAATTGTAATTTGATAATCATTGGCTTGCATTAAAACAGTTTAGGACTGGAGAGTCAACTTTTTTAGTTTGGTAACAATAGAAACCAGTGTTGTAAACGTATCATAGCAAGCTAAGAGGTAGATGAAGAAGAATCATGGGATTACTAAGAGGCAAACCCTAAAATTGTATTCTAAAATTGTGCATAATTTTATTGACTTCAAGTAATTTGGTACCAATCATGACAGAGAAAGACTACTTTTTTAGCAATGCTGTGACATTGGGGCATTTGTGAGGCGTGTTTGAATTTTCTGTTTGGTCACTGAACTTTTATTCATTTTTCTTCTGCTTTTAACATTAAATGATAATATTTGTACAGGAGTATAGGATAATAATTCACTTGTTCAGTATCCAATTATCAAATCAAGGTAAATTAGCATTTCTATATCCTCAACTATGTGTAATTTCTATTTATTCGCATACCTAGAATTACTCTTCTGGTTATTTTGGAATATATAATTATTGTAACCTATGTTACCCTACTGTGCTTCAGAACACTAGAAAACTAATTCCTTTTATTACCTATATCTTGGTATTCACTAGCCAGACACTGTTGCTGTAACCCCACCTATCCTGTAATAACAACTATCCTGTGTTCTACTTATGTAAGATTAACTTTCTTAAGTTACCTAATGTGATTAGGATTTAGAAGATATGTCTTTTTTGTGTCTGTTATTTTTGTTTAGTGTCTTATCCATGTCGCAACAAATTAAAGGATTGCAGTCTGTATCATGACTGAATAATATTCCATTTTTTATTTAGACTATTTTCTTTACCCATTCATCTGGTGATAGACATTTGGTTGATTCCATGTCCTAACTATAGTGCTGCAAGAAATATGAAAGTACAGGTACCCTTTTTTATTATAATGCTTCCTTTTTTTTCCTTTTTGGGATATATATCTCATGCACAAACATGTTTTTAAAAACCTTTGTGAGGTGGAATGTAACTCCTCACTTATTAAATATGGGATGTCCAATGACTTCCTTACAAAGATGATATCATGCAAAGGAGGATAAAAAGAAACTGGACAGTAAAGAAACTTAAACAATAATAACCCAGGCAGATAATCAGTGTCAGCGTCAGCAGTGACAAATCATATTCATAATGTGGACCCTTGATATGGTTTACTCTAAAGAGCTGTTTGCTCTTGTGTTCCTCTTCCCAAAAACTTACAATCCCAGTCTAAACACGGAGAAGTATCACACAGATGCCAGTAAGGAGACATTTTATAGTTACTTCCAAAGCTGACAGTTATCAGAAATAATGAGTGTATGAGAACCTGGGAGAGCTAGGAGGAAACTAAAAGGACACGATGACTAAAATGAATTTAGCAACCTAGATGTGATCTTAGAGCACAAAAAGAACATTAGATTAAAAAAAATAGGAAATTATTGTAAGTTACAAGTATTAATTAAGAAAAAGTATTGAATATTATGACAATACAGATGTGAATAAATGTTATCGCTGCATCTCAGATAAAGACAAAATGGTTGAAAATTTGACAGTGTTGCTGGAATTTAAATTGTCTTGTTATAACATCAACTACTTTTTATAATGGCAAGTAGTTCACCAGATGGCTTAAGAGCGAACAATCAAAGCATGATAAATTAATGTAGTAAGTTATAAAAACCCAAGACTAATCTTTAAAGAGATAATAACTTACCTTGAAATGGAAATTGCCTGGAATTTCAGAACAGAATGTCATGTGTCCTGGTAGGCTTTTCTACTAACTAGCAATCTGGTTATGGATGCGTTATAACACGTACACAAACCAGAACTTCCCAATTGGAAAGTGTTACATACACATAAATCTAACTACTTTTTACTCGTTTTTTTTTTTTTTTGATGCTAGTTTATCTACCACACAAGATTGAAATCTTACAGTAGCATAGAAACCTATCAATCTTTAGCAGACTTACATCCTTTCTTAGACTTAATTATTTTTAAGAAAAAAACATTTAACTTGTGGATCTATTTTCCATGTGGAGATGTAATAAAAATCTTAAACTTTTTAAAAATATACAGTTATTTTAATTGATATATAGGAAAACAGACCACTAAATACATACTTCATACAGAACCAAAAATTTCTAAGTTTTAGAATGTGAATTCTTTAAGAAAATACTATAATCTAATAAGCAAGAGCAATATGTATTACATTATATATTCATCTCATAAAATACAGACCAACTTCTTGTAGAACATGTGCATTCTACTATATGATTGCACTTTACTGTCATTTTTCATGTGTCCTTTTGGCAATGTGTGGAAGAAGGCTATCAATCATAATCACGTCCTTGATGGGCAGTTTGAGCTCCCCACATATATTGCAATTTATTTTCATAGATATACAATAGCAGATCCCTTTCCCACACCGGACACCCTCTTCCCTGAAAGATGTATGTGCTGCATCTTAAATGACAGCAGCATTGTTCTTGTTTTCTAGTGCACTGACCGGCAGAACTCACCCGTCACATCCCCAGGATCCTCTCCCCTTGCTCAAAGAAGAAAACCCCAGCAAGACCCACTCCAGATCCCACACCTCAGCCTGCCACCCGTGCCACCTCGCCTGGATTTGATTCAGAAAGGCATAGTGCGATCTCCCTGTGGCAGCCCCACGGGTTCACCAAAGGTAAATCAGTTTCATTAGAAACACCGTATGTGACAGTTATGAATTACTCGAGTTCTTCTAAATCACGTTACTTGACACTTTGTATTTTTTCATTGTTTGTTAATATTTTTGTTGGGTTTATCATTTTTTATGGTGCTCCAGCTATCGTATTTCTTTTGTAAAAGTTGCATAATTCTTCAGAAAGAGCACATATCTGTGGCCTCCTAATTTGTTAAAATAAGTAGCAGTATATGTCTGGTCATTCTGTAAAATAGATTTAAAAGGTCATTATATGTATTAAAATAATTTGCATGCTGTTATCAAATGATATTTTACTCTCATTTTCATAATGTCATGACAAGAAAAATGTAATGAGAGTATATTTGCATAAGGGCTTAAGGTATAATAAATTATTGCCCATGTTCAAGGTGACTCACAAGAGAGAATTATGTGTACTTTTTATACCTAGAGGAATTAATTACAAAGAGTTACAATATTTGCAGAGTAATTACATTACTGTGTAATATTACAGACATAATTCTAACTCTGTAAATTTAAGCCCACAGTCTGTTTTAGTTTTACATGTATTTTTTTCCAAACTTGTTAAGTTTGCTTTATTAAACATAAGAGTTAAAAAAATTAATTCCATTTGGTAATATGTTTTATAGTCTAAAATTAGTAGGAAGTACAATATATTTACTAGTATTTGTTTTTCCTACCTTATAGTTAATTTGTTTTTAAGCTCATATGAAGACTACTAAGGATATGACTGAGAATTACATAAACATACACAGATTCCTTTTTCTTTGACTCTTCTTAGTATTAAAGGCTCAAATCATTCATCAGATGAACCCTGGAAATACAAATCAAAGCTAAGCAGCATGGTGGTGAATGCATGCGGTCTGACAGGTTAAGGACGTAAGATTTTAAATTTGAGCTTGGTTCACACCACTTAGTGATTTAAGGAGACTGTCTCAGAATAAAACAGTAAAAAAGGGCTGGGATGTTATATAGCTTAGTACAAATGCCCTGGGTTCAATCCCAAATAACACATTCCCACGAGCTGTGAAAAGTACATAGATTCAGTTTGAAAATACACACTTTCATATTTCTATGTAAAGAGCAACGTTTTAAAAAATTTCATACAATTCTCTAATACTGCTAATTGTCATTTTTCTCTATTCTTATAATGACTAATAATCAGAATAAATTTGTCCCATGTCGGTTCTACTATACTGTAAAATGAAAAAAAGTTTAAAAACAATTTTCCAGGAATATTACAAGTCTATAGTTTCTATGGCAACGACTTTGATGAATTTCTTCTGTCTCTCCTAAATGAAGGAAATGTACAAAAATAAATTATTGGTAAGATGTTGCGATCAGTCAGTTTTACCTGTTTTTTTTTCCTGTATAGTTTGTATAACATACTATCTGCATTTACATGCTCCTTTCTACAAAACATACTAATGAAATACATTAAATATTTCATTGTTTTGAACTTTTCGTTAGTTTTTTTTTTAAAGCTTATTAGAAGATGACATATAATAATGCTCTGGTATGGTTTAGAAAGTACATTAATATATTGGTGTGGCATCCTTAACGCTTAGTGCAGCTTTTTACGTGCTTGTGTTATGTATGTTCTCTTGTACCTCTGCAGTCTTCTCCTTGCATGGTGAGAAAACAAGACAAGCCACTCCCGGCGCCACCGCCCCCCTTGAGAGAGCCCCCGCCCCCTCCGCCCGAGCGCCCGCCCCCGATCCCGCCCGAAAACCGCCTGAGCCGCCACTTGCCGCCTGCAGAGGGCGTGCCTCCCCGGGAGCAGCCCGTGCCTCTGGAAGCCTGGTGCCCTCGGGATGTCTTCGGGACCCATCCGTCCTTGGGGTGTCGCGTCCTGGGGGACAGCTCCCCGAAGCCAGGAGTCACCGCGAGCTCGAATGTAAACGGGAGGCACAGTAGAATGGGCTCTGACCCCGTGCTGATGAGGAAACACAGACGCCACGATCTGCCTTCTGAAGGAGCCAAGGTAAGAAGTGTGCAGCGCCGCAGGCAGCGTGCAAGCTGAGGAGCCTCCTGTGCGGCAGCCTTTCTGATGGGAGGTTGCGGGAGTGGTTGGGCGGTGTTCTCTTCCCTCTGCTCTTTAATTATCTCTAAGTTATAAATAATCAGAAGCCCATTAAAACTTGAACTTAAGTCAGTAAGAATATTCTAATGATTTAATTTTAATATGTAGGCACTAGAGAATTTGCCAGATTTATCTCACCTTCCTTATTTCATTTGCCAAAGATTTGTTCCATTCATAACTAAATGATTTGATAGTAAAATCAGTGTGTTCTCATTGTTTTATTCTCCCTGTTCTGTCAAAATTGAAAAGTCGTGTGTGTGTGTGTGTATATGTGTGTATGTGTACAGTTACACTGTAGGCAGTGATGTTAAAAATTACAAAGCTTGGCAGGGCGTGTTGTTGCGCACCTGTAAATTCTAGCACTCTTGAGACTGAGGCAGGGCGATCACCAGCACTTTGAGGCCAACCTGGCTAAATAGGTCACTCTAAACCTCCTAGCCAGACCCTATCTCAGAAAACCAAAAACAACAACAGCAAAATCTCAAAGCTTGTCTTTCCTCTTAGTAACTTCTTTCCTCCTGAAACTGAGATTTTCAAGCTTAAGTTCTGACTTGAAGGCTACTTCAACTATCATTTATATAAGTAGGAATTTAAATGACCTGGTAGTCCCCTAGGTAAAGATGTGTTGTCCTGTAATGATTTCTGATGTTTGCTTTCATGTTTTTGTGTATACAGTCAGACCATTAGGATTTCTCTATACTGCAAGAGGTTTTTGCTCATTTGAGAATTGTAGTATTAAAGGAATTCCATTTCTGCTGCTCCTAAATGGTCATTTTAAGAGGTTATTTTGGTCAGTTAATCCTGTAACAAAAACACATGCGGGAATCAAAGTGCTTGGTTCTCCTGTTTGTGTGCACATGTAATTACGGTGACACTGAAAATTTATATAATGAAATAATCAGTACAGATATATAAGTGATGTTTAAAGACAGCCTGATAGGAAGAATGGGACTCTCCAGTGCAGCATTCTAGACAAGGAAAGTTGGGCAGGTTTGCTTTTACTGCCAGTGACCCAGCCCATACCTTCATTCTCACCTGCTTTCTGAGGATCTCTAAAAGTTTCCTGATGGTCACCTAAATGTGATTGTAAATATAAGAGAAGGAAGTTATTGTAGTTAGGGGTTGTGCAGAAAACAATTACAATCAGGACATGGAGTTTATAATATTATTTTTATAATGGTCACCAGGAGTTAACACAGGAAAATGCAGGAAATCTATCAGCAACTCCAAAGACATAGAATATGTAGCCAAGGGCCTAAATCCCACAGCATGTCCCCACATGAGTCCAGATGAAGACCCAAAACTCATGACGATGCCTCCCACGAGTCCAACTGGAGGCCTAGAGCCCACAAGAAGCCCACAAGCCAGTCTCTTTTATGGATCCGTGCCAGGAAGGCCCAAAGGTCAGTGGCAGAAGCTAGAAAGTCCATGCCAGCTGGGTGAAGGAGCTGTGCTGGTGGGATGAGGGTTTTACCCTGGAGCCAAGAAGCCACACTCAGGGCTGTCCTGAAAGGTACCACAGCCATCCTCTGTGACAGGGAGGCCCCGGGCTCCTCCGATGATAAGCACAGTCAAGTATATGCCAGGAAGCCAGTGTGAGTAAGTTCATCCTGGAGACCAAGCAGCACACATCTTCCCCTCAGGAGCCAGGAGGCAATGCTCGATATGAGGACCAGAGCTTCTCCAGAACCAACGGCTCAAACAGCAACTCATAGGAGAAGCCACAATACTCAACACAGTGCAATAATGCATTAACACCTCAACGTCTCTACACCTCCCTTCTTCTCCACCTATTTATCCTGGCAACTTTCCTCAGGTGGAGCATCTTTGCTCAACACCATACTGATGTAATCCAGCTGGTGTTAAGTTGACCACCAGTTCTTAACCCATAACAGAAGTAAAAACGCAATTTGGTAACGTTCTCTAACACTGGAGTGCCTGTTGTCAAAAGAATTTTGCTACAGCATAGAATCCTGACTGGAAAAACCGACTCTTTCCTCCTTCAGCCTCTGCTCACTGTTGCGTGATCACACTTGAGTAGAGCTTAGGAACAAGCTCTGACACGAGTGGGCTGATTAGACTTCAGCAGCAGGTTACAGGATATGAGATGTGATTGTAAAATGTAGTGAGTATTTACATTTTAAAAATACTCTGACAATAAAAGAAACATTGCCATTAACCTCTCTAAAGAGCTCCCCTTGCTTTGAAGACACTTAGCCCATCAAGCTTGCCACTTTATGAAGCAGTTCTTCTCAAAGTCCTCTTTCCTGTCTTTAGTTGCACTGTCTTGGTTGCCTTGATGTCCTGTATCAGTTCAAAACATTTGCCATTCATGATCGTTGTGACTTGGGGAAGGGCCAGAAGTCACGTGGTGCCAGATCTGGTGAATGAGGTGGATGAGAACATACCATGAATTTTTTAGTTGATAAACATGGCCTCATAAGTGATACATCTCAGAGTATTTTTGTAATGGAGATGAAACTGCCTATTTCTCAGGCAGTTTTCCACACATCTTTCTTCAACAATAGGCCCTTAAAATATTCAGCAGCACCGTAGTGCTGCTGGATACAAACTCAACTCACACAATTCCATCAAGGCCAAAAAACACAGGATCACGCTGATAGGAATCTTGATGTATGCATTTCGTTTGCACAAGGAGAACTGGGTGATTTCTGCTGAAAATTCTGAACTCTGGATCATACTAGAGATCCAACTTTCAGCTGCCATGATATTTCTTAAAAAGCTGGACTCTGAAGCACAGAATCACACTAAAGATGTGGGCTCAGTGTCCATGCTTTACTGCACATTTAAAACACACAACCGACTTGTGCCAAAATTGAAACCTGTCGCAGCTTACATGGTGCTGCTCACATCAGATTTTGCTGCCTTTCCCTTGGCTACCCACAGCAGCAGTATTTACCCTAATGTTTTTTAAATTACTCTTTGCATTTCTGAGTAAACTTCAGAAATACTTAAAAATATTATAATTATCGAAGTTCATTAAAGGCCTCTGTTTTAGGGTTTTCTTAGCAAATGTGAAGTAATGTATTAATGCTAATACATGACTGCCCTTGTCACGCCTAGAACACTGGCTGTTCACTTTTTAAAGGAATACGATGGTTTCAGAAATGGGGGTGACAGTTTCTTATATGTGTGGGTTTTACTTTATTAACTAAAATGTTGTTTATTTCTAAATTATCCTCATTAATATTTCTTAATGTCTAATCTCATGTGTTGTATTAATATTGCAATGTTTACATTCTGAAAGTTAATTTCATGTTACAACTAGAATTGACATTTCAACTAAATTAGATTTCTTCTAAGATACCTAATTTTAATTTAGTTGTTTGATTTCTCAGGTTTTAAAGAAGGATTTATATATAGTTAATGATTTTAATGCTATAAAACAGACTGTGTGTCCATCTTTATTAACTTTATGGGGGAAAAGTGGTTCTACTTTAATAACACCATAGGGAATATCACTGTTTAAAGTAGAAAAGGCCAAATTTCCCTTTTCGTTTTGGTAGGAGACAGAAGAGGCTAACTTTAGATAACAGCTGATGTAGCACCAGTCGCCTAGAATCGATCCTCCAGCTGTTTCTATGATTCTGGGGTGAAGTGTATTACCAGGCTCCGGGATTAGACCGGGAGCTCACCTCCGGCTCTAGAATTTCCCGGTTTTATCACTGTGAACAACTTCTTTCATCTTCCCCTCCCTAACCTCACTTATTTTCCTTCCCTTACAAAATGGAATACTAATAATTATGAGCCTCCAACTATAAAACCTACCTTATCTCTTCACTTGTGAGTAAAACCAAAATAACTGTCAGACATAGGCATCAAAATAAGTTGTAACCACTGATATTTTCATTCATAGTTGCCTTAAAAAGAAAAACTAACTACTCTTTTCCACTGTCCTCTTAGCAGAGTTGCTGACACACACTTGGTAAGCGCGAAATAACTTGGATGCTTTTGTTTTACTGCTTAAGCCAACAATTGAGGCAGAAGCATGGCTGTGTGCGGAGCTGGGATCAGTAGTGGACAGGTCAGAAGAAGAAGAAGTTGAGGAAAAGGGTGCCTGGAAAGGATGCAGACTATCACATTTTTGATGTTGTCTTGCCTGATGAAAAATACATTGTGTATTTATTTCTTCTGTTGCGAAGAGTATTACTTTTAGGTGGTGGATCACATATAAGTAAAGAGGAATGGGAGATGATTTGGTGTTTTCAAGACTAGTGAAAATTATAAATGGTAACAGCCTTTTCAACCTTCATTCCTAGTGTACACTTTGTAATTTTGACATAATTATAGGAACAGACAGTGTGGAGATTAGATATGTGGGGGATGACTTATTATCCCTACATAGACCATCGTTTCTCTAAATATAAGCAAATACACTTTTGGGCCAAGTAGTAAAAGTGCTATGGTTAATAGCCTACATTGAGTTGTTTTCATTAGAGTTAACACTTCAAGGTAAATATCTTTCTACTTTAAAGAACACTTAGGAAAGTTGTAAAAGGTTAAATAAAAATGAAGTGTGCTTGTGGAATACACAAGGGGAAATTCTGAAACTCCGCATGCCACAAACGGGGTGAGGCCCTGCACCCCCAGTGTGTGCCCTCTGTGTGCAGCTCGTGTCATCCTCGAACACTCTGGCTGTTTCCATTTGTATCCTCACTAGACAGACAATAAAGGAAACAAGAACTAATTAAATTCTAATTACTTCATTGGCTAACTGTAGAGCGCTTTCAGGGAGACCCTCGTTCACAGCTGCGATGCACTGGAAGCATTTTTCATGCTGCTCTTTTAAACTCCCTTTTTTCCTTTCCTCGCCGACCAGCGCAATCCAAAGCTAGCTAATGTGACACCTTAATTTCAATATGACTGTAAGCTAAGAGTCACCAAGTTTATTTGTCTTCTTGTGTTGCTAAGAAATTTCTTTCTTATAGCAACGTTTCCATTCTCTAAGATTCTCAAGATTCTAGCCACTTTTCAAATCTGTTATTTAGTAAATCCCTCACTGAGTAGATATTTATTATTATTAGTTTGTGGGGAAAATATTTACACTGAATGTTTTAAAATGCGAGTAAAAACTTGAAAGTAATTTAATTCTACATATAAACATTGTACCCAGCTATCATTAATTATTCCCTTTGAGAGATTAATGGGTCTGCTGTTCCTTACATGATTAAAAAAAATTATCTTTAACTTGTCGTGTTACTGACACTGATGTTTTCAGCATGACCTTTTGTATAATAATCTCTTAAAGATGCTGCTAGATAAGTAGGTCACATGAGCTCTCTTTCTGAAATTGTGGCTTTTGCACTTTTGGCAAAGAGGCACGTGTTTATATGAATGACCTTCAACTAATCTATGAATCTCTAGAACTGTCTTTCAAAAACAAGCCTTCTGTGTACCCTGGTTTCTTTTCTAGTCTCATGGTGAAGTACAAAATACAGGGATATTTTTTGGATAGTGTGTTGTTGGAGAGAGTTACATGTATAAGGTGGGAAAAGAGACTTTTTATTTGGAATTTCATACAATAAAAACTCAATAATGATAAAGTTTTCACAGAATTATTTGTTTTCTCTGTATTTCACGGTTCCAAATGATTTAACCTTCAGATTTTTAGATAATATCTGAGTCATAGGAATGCATTTTGAACGTCAGAATTAAAGTCTAGGATAACCTTGATTTACAATAAAGAATGAAATCCCAAGTGGCACTTTTTCCACTAACTTAAACCTCCAATAAATTTGTTATCCGTTTGACCTAATCTGATAATCTGTCCCTTCAATCTCTCAGGACTGACCAAATCAGTAAGGATGCTGCTAGATGCCAGTGCTCAGGATACTGTAAGGAATACAAGCATGAATAAAGCAGAGCCTAGTGAGGATAAATTTAAGGGACAACGCATAAGAGAATTTCCAGAGAATATATGTGATCCCCAGAAAAATTCTGAAAGGCAGGGTAGAAAAAGGAAAAGCATGCTTCACGAAGCAGGAGTGTCACTGGCTACGGACATTTAAAGATCTAGGCAGCTGTCTTGTGTGCTGCTGTTTTGGTAGACAGGACCAGAAGGAAAAGCATGAAAGTGTGAAAATACGTGTAGTGACAGGAAATGAGCTTTGGGTAGAAGGTATGACAGGTAAAGAGGCCACTGAGCTAAAAAGCGTGGCAATAGGTTGAAACCATTTAACAAGTGCCTTGAATTCCACAGGAAGTTACCTTAATTTTGTAGGAAAGAGCTTTTAAAGTCTTTTTATTTCTCCTTCAGAGGAATGATAAGATCAGTGTCACAATTTTAAAAGTTTGAGGCCTTAGCACTTTAGTTTGGAGACAGGAGGCAGAGAAGGCAGAGGCAAAAGCACGTTTCCTAGTGTGTCAGTGCCGTTACAGTGTGAACTGTTTCAGCTGATACTGTCAGTCCATACATTTTAAAAACTGCTGTTTTCTATTATGTGTAAACATGTCTTTCAAATTTATAAAGAAAACAAAATATTTCTTTTTAGTTCATAAGGTTGTGATGTTCACCCCTTCAGAGTGGCAGCTAAAATGATGCCTGGTTTGATAAAGTGAATGAAATGGGAATGTAGAATTGAGAATAATAAATATCATCCTCCAGCCACCAGTAAGAGATAGAAATGATCTCTTCAGATGAACCAAAGTATGATCATCACTTTAGCACCTGCACTTTAGATGCTGTTTGAAGTCGCATAGTCTTAGTCTGTTAACTAGGAAGGACCTGTTAATGAATTTCATGTATGGTATTATGCATGTTTTTAGGCCTCAGTACATATTTAAGAATAGATAAAGCTATACCCAGCCTTTGGCCCACCCTCACTACCTTTAATGTTAAAAAATACTAAGTTTTTTCACTTATGTACATTAACTGTATTATGAATTTTACATGGGTCCGAGACATTTTATCTTCATTCATTAAAGGAGTAGAGGAGTGGCAGAATGTGTGTTGACCGCCATTGGTAGAAAGATGAACCATTAAACAAATTACATACAGTTGCTGAGAGTACACCATTAAACTGGTGAGTTTATTCTAGTTATACCAAAAGAAAGTCATTTCATTGGTTAATGCCGTCTGTAGTAACTAAATCTAAGCCAATCAGCAGTCAGAATTCCTGTAACCCTTCACGGGTATAAATCACATAAAGACATGCTATAAAATAATTTTAAAAGCAGCTTTTTTTCTGAAAGAGATTCAAGTGGCATGAATTCTCCAGATGGAGCGTGATTCCATGGGTGGAAAATAAGAGAAATAGCTGTGGATAGCAGTCACCTAATGACTGGTTCAGAAAAGACATTGTGACATTTCAGAGTCAACAGAAGTCTTTTAGATTCTGTGTGTTAATAACTGTATTAAGAAAGCAATAAGAGAATGTGTTATTTGTACTTTAAAGCATATTGATTGTTTCATAAAAGTAGGAATTAAGTTCCTTAATTTCTTTAATTTTTTGCCCTCCCAGAGAATGAGTTACCTTATTAACTTTGCTTTGTGGTTTTTTCAATAATACACTCCATTGCCTTTGTGACTTCTCTAGTGGTAATACATAAAAAAGGTTTTTTGGGGTATATTATTAATGTGTCTGTTCTCCAGTTACCTAATGTGTGAGATGAAATCATTTCCAATATTAGTGGGTGTTTGTGTGTATTGGTATTCCTTTTCAGATATATTCTTAATGTCTTGATTATAAAATTTTGATTGGCTTATTGTTAAATTAGAATCTACAATAAAATATTTCTAGCTCTTCCTTTTACTTGATTTTTACTGAAATGGTATTAACTACCTATATAGGTACTTTCTCCCAAAAGAACAAATTACTGCATATAAAATCTACATTTCACTTTGACAATGAATTTTAAATGTATTTGTGATAGAAACATTAAAAAGGTTTGATTGTAGATCTCTTAACATTGTATATACTCTAGTAGCATGCCAAGAACTCCAGTTAAGACTGATTTCAAGTGCTCATTATGGTAATGAACATTTGTAATTTGACAGCAGTGTTTTGTCAGTTAAAAGGCATTTTTGTTCTGAAGGATTTCATTGAACTTTGCAATGATTCATAACTATTAGGAAATTTTTTATCCCTAGAAAAGTTCAAAAGACTTTGCTACATTTCATTATTTAGCTCATCATTAAACAAAACTCATAATAAAAATTGTTTCATGTAGAGATACTTTGTGCTGCTGTAACAGCAGTGTATTGAATATGAGAGAGAGAAACTGAACTGGAGTCTAGGATTTAGGGTTTAAAGTAAAACTTTAATAGTTTAAAATGAGATTTTACAGCTTTGAAATGTAAACATTGATGATTCTCAGCTGTGTTCTTTAAACTTGTTTCCATTTTTATTTTCAGTTGATAGGTGAGTTGTGACTTTTTCATTTTTGCATTTTAAAGCTCCAATTCCATTTTAGGAATGTAAAGGAGGAAAAGTTGATCTCTGATTGAATTATCTAGGGTGGTTAGTTATATTTCATCAATTTTGCCCCAATAGCAGTCTGCTTCTGAGCATGAATTCATAAAAGTAGACAAAAGAAATCTACGATAAAAATCTAGTGGTTGTTTACAGATCTTAGCAAGTATTCAGTCTGTCCTTATGACTGTGCGTTTGCAAAGCGATTCTCTCATTTCCACCCTTAATTTGTGCTAATTTCAGGTTGCTGGAAAAGCAAAGAAGAGTTATTCAGATAATTCCTGTAGCATGACTGAAAAACCTGGAAATCAGTATCCTAATTCTCAGTGATTAAATAATGGCATTCTTTGATACCTACATGAGCAAGTTAAGAGTTATAGTTTGTGATGCTCACGAACTGAAATTTAATTTTATCTACACTTTGAGAGCCAGATAAATATCTGGTTGTAACCCTAAAACTTTGACCTTGAAAGCACAAAAACATTTCTCATAGTACCTCTAGACTATTATAGTAGGAAGTTAGCGTGTTCTGTTGACCCTAAAGAGATCATTTATAACATTTTTATTTAAAAGAAACGAAATAAGAATCATACTAATACTGCTTTTTCCTTCACCTGATCTCTATCTTTTCCATAAGAAATTATCACATTTGATAAATTTTACTACTTATTTGATTTTCTGTATTTAATTTATGCAAATAATTTAGAGTATTACCTCTCATTTATGCTTAAGAATGATTGTATCTTTTCTTCATACAACCTGCTACTGTTTTAGGTAGCTACTGTTTCAGGTTAAATCATCACTGTGGTGTTTCTAAGTTAAGTAAGTGGTATTATATTTAACTATTTAAAATAAGCCGAAATTATATATAGTCGCTTCTAAATTCCTAGAGCTCTTATTACCTTCAGGGCCTCCAGAATTTACCCTCTTGGAAAGTAACCATTGGATTTGCTTGCAGGTCTTCTCCAATGGTCACCTAGGAAATGAAGAGTATGATGTTCCTCCTCGGCTTTCTCCTCCTCCAGTTACTGCCCTGCTCCCTAGCATAAAGTGAGTTTTACTGAATTTGTAGATCATTTGTCAATGCCTAACAATATGATTACAAATACTTTTGAGGTTATCAGTACAGAAACTATCCATTACATAGAGAGGAATCAATGAAAAACCAAACAATTCAGTCAGACTTAGAAACTCTAGTACCTGAAATCAAGATCCTCCTCCATTTTTTGATGGTAACCACAGTGTCTATTAGGTTTATCTCAACTGTCTGAAATTATACACAGTGCAATAGGGTAAAAAAGCTAAGTGTTACCTGTCCAAAGTAAGGAGTGGAGCATTGTGGTGAGTTCTTCTCCCAGCTGGTCTCTCATTCAGGTGTCACATTTCTGTTACTCCGTTGACATCACAAAGTAATTCTTGCTTCCTTCAAGTTCCTTGTATCCCAAAACCATGCAGCACTTAAGTACTGTTGAGTGGGCTCTTCCGGAGTTTTTGTATTTAGCTAACCTTCCCGTTGCCTAGCTTTACCTCAGAGCTGGAATCCTGAAAGAGCTATTTCCCCAGTCTGCTCTTAAGATCTCAGAAGTAGTGTCAGTGAATTTAAAGCTAACCAATCAGTCAACCTGATTGAGACATTTGAAATAGGGATATAATGGCACAGTGGACAGTCAAGTGATACCTACCATGTTAAAGTCAAATGTGCCAAGTCTCAGCTTTTGCTCATTATTAAGTCAAATCAGGCTGCCTGCTTTATAATTTTGTTCACTGCACCTGAATTAATTTATTTGCATTCTTCTTAGTATAGGTCTCTTTCCCACTGTAAAACCACCATTGCTCTTTTCTAATTAATGCGTTCTGTATTTATCTGCTAACAATAAGAACTTTTGGGATTCTATCCATGTAAAATATTTTTCAGTGATTCCTAATATTGCCTTTAATCGTGTTTGTATATATTTTCTGGTTTTATAAGTTTTCTGTAGTATTCACTCCTTTGCTCTGCTTTCTCAAAAACTTCATGCTAAATGTCTGTCTCAGGCTCTACTTTTTGTGAAAACATCTGTAATTTCTTCTTAATAATTAAGACCGAGATGCATTACTGTTCTGAATTTATTTTCTGCTGTAAATTGTTTTCTCATTTTACCATAATTGCAAGGTCTTAAGAATGTAGCTCAGCAGTAGAGCACTTGGCTAGCCTCCCTAAGACCTAGGGTTCACTCTCCAACACTGCAAAAAAAAAAAAAGTTACAAAATCAGGAGATCAACCACCTTATCAGTGTTCTCCAATTCTGTTCTGCAGAATTCTTGATTAATTTTATCTGCTAATCTTACAGCTTTTTAGCCTCTGTAAGGCTAACTGTAGGCTCTTTAGGTGGAACTCCCACTGTACCCAACAAAAGAGGAATAAACTAAATCTCAGCCCTTAAGAAGTTTTCAGTTTAGGGAATAAAGTTAACATACAGGAAATCACTGGAGAATACTCAGCATGAAATTGTGCAGTGCTAACCTGTTAGTTTTACGAGTCTGGAGGGGAGGCTATTAGAGACTTGGTAAAGTTGGCGGTATTTCAGGGGGGATGAAAATAGCCTGAATCATAGAGGATGGACACGCTGGCTAAATCAGTACATGAGAAACCCAGAGGCTGAAACTCAACATCATTCAGAGCAGTGGACAACTCAGCTAATTGGACCATCCTTTAGAGAGAACTTTTCTTGGAACTGCCAGACATACAACAGAAACCAGAGCTGGAAGCAGTTATAGGTATTGTGTATAGTAGACTCTACACAAGTGAGAATATTCTCATAGACTATACATATGTCTAATTACATATGTCTAATTTAAAATCTATGCTCAGTTACCTCTGTTAATTCAAAGAACTTTAGAAATGAAAGTAAATGAGATTTTTCTAATTAGAGAATGAAGTTTTGAATTCTGTTTATTGAATCTATATTGGCAAGTGCAAAGAGAGAGAGGTTGCACTTTGTTCCATTAGTACTTAATATCAAGTGCCCTCTTGTATAAACAAAGCAAGAGTAGGAAGATCATAGGTGTATTTTTAAAAGTAGGGGTTTTTAAGTTTTACAATTTTTTTTTTTTGCTACTGGGAATAGAACTCAGGACCTTGCACTTGCCAGGCAGGTGCTTATGCTAATGGGCTATATCCCCAACAGAGGTGTGTTTTATTGATGACTTCCTAATCTTTCGGTTTGTAAGAGCATTTGAGATCAGCCACATGATTGTACTTTCTCCTCATTTGCTCCTGATTTTTTTCCCTCAATGATAGTTCAGTAGTTTTACTTAACTAGTAAAATATTTTAACAGTACGTGCTTAACAGAAAATTAATTTTTCTAGCTCTCATGCTGCATGTTAGCCATAAAAGAATACATTTGATAGATTTTAATGACAGACTTATATTTCCATTTTCTTTTATTTCTGACTGTAGATGTTAGTTGTTCATTGAAGAAAATAAGTACATAAATTTAAGAAAAAATAACATTTCCTGTATATGCATATATGTGTATCTTAATGTCAATGTGCAGAGTTAACATTTCACTGTTTTTTCATTTAAAATTTTTTAAATATTTAGATTATGACATAGACTGTGTCTTGCCCATCTTTTTCACTATTATTGTAAACGTTTTTCTTAGTTGATCATACACTATATGCACTGTGAAAACAGCATGCAATTCTGAAGCGAATTGAAGAATAAAGTCAGATTGGGTCCTAGACTTTAATACAGTATTAAGTATATGGCTTATTTTGAAGAAGGTAACTTCTCTAAGGTGGCCACATCCCATTGCTGAAACCAGTGTAAGTTGAATTTATGTCCAGTAGCGTAGTGTACATAGTAGCATGCTGTAGCATAGTAATTACAGTAGCATACTGTACATTATAATGATTGGTACTTTGCATCTTTAAGAGTGTGTAGGCAGAGTACAGTGGATGAAGAACCTCACTCTGAAGGGTCACAAAACAAAGTTTTAGGAAAGACTTCACTCATTGAAACAGGGATGTTGATGCTCAGTCCACTGTCATATTAGCATATTTCAAAATTAAGATAATGCAAAATTATAAATTTCTACCTGACATAAACTCTTACAGTTCTCAGAAATGTTGAAAATCTCAATATCAAGTTCAAGATTGTCAAAGCTAGTGGTTAGCTTTTTATCTCTGTTAACAATATGTGATTGCTAAACATTTGATACTAGTTTAATCCCCATATTTTTATAATCCTTTATTTTGTTTGAAATTATATATTCTCTAAATTACATTGAAATAATTCATTTTTTGACACTTGAACTAAATGAACTTTAGTTTTTAATTTTATTTATTTATTTATTTATTTATTTATTTTAATCATACAATATATTGGCAAATAAACAGGGATATCATTTCAGGTAATAATGGAGTAATTGCTTCCAGATAAGGTAATGTTATTGAATCATGAGAAATATCATTTCATTACAATAGTTTTATTATGCCTCATATCTAGAATTGGAGTTTTTAATACATTTGGCATACTAATCATTGATTTTCAAGTATTTTTGAATCAGTATTACTTTATTCATATTTTTGCAAAAAATTTGTCATTGGATATAGTGATGTTTTTTTTTGTTTGTTTTTTGGTTTTTTTTTGTCTTTTTCGTTTTTTATCGGTACCAGGGATCGAACTCATGACTGCCTGCTTGCAAGGCAGGCGCTTATGCCGCTGAGCTAAATCCCCAGCCCCCGGATATAGTGATGTTAATCAATGTCATAAACTATTCAAAAAAGATTATACTGATACTTTAGTTTCAGTCAATACAGCATCCAAATTTTGTCTACCTGTCCCATTTTCATTCGTTGCTATATTGTCTGGAGAATCAACAGCAAGATAAAATCCTTGTCCCCTTTGGAATTTATGCACTTTAGGAGAACAAAATGAGTAAAATTATATTGCATATTGTCAGGTAGTGGTAAGTGCTAAGATGAAAACTAGGGAAGGATGTAAATGGCAAAGGTTTGCAGTTTAGATGAGATACTTAGGAAAGACCTGTCTGAAAGCATAACATTGAAGCGGAAACATCAGAGAAGTAATGGAGCAAGCTTGGAGGTCGTCTGTGTGGAGATCATGCATGCGGGACGGCACAAGTGCAGAGTAATTTCAAATGTGTTTGCAGTCAAAACAAATCAGTGAAGTTGCTTGCATTTAAATATATTCTTAAAATTTAATGCATGCCACTGTGATTATTCTTGAAATCATGAAAGAATTTTGAAAAATAGCTTATAAGTGATACAAGACTCACTCTGCTGTTGGAAGAAATTACTATATGTTGCACAGTGCAATAATCACTTTTAGAACTATGCCATTTTTTGTTTACCTTTTCTCTAAACATGTTTCCTTGTTAGAATAGTGCAGAATAATATCTAGGGTAAGCTGTGATTATTCGTTTTTTAAAATAAAAAATATAAACTTATCTTTAAATATTAAGTAAGGAGAGTCTTAGAATATATGTAGAAGAGAAATAAAATGATACATAATTTCAAATGCTTTCTGACATACAAATAATTGATCTCTTGCCAGTTGGTCATTTATTTTGCTAATAAACACTTTTCTCTGAAAAGTAATCAACTACATACAAGCCCTTGTACATATGTTGGCAAGCCTTGGTTGAGTATCTGCCCTTCAACATTTTCCAATTAAAAACAGAAATAGGAGACAGACATAGTTGAATTCCCAGACAATACAACATAACTAACAGGTCATTTTCTTAATATACCTAACAGAAGATTAGTTCAGGTTCAAAGAAAATTTAAAATTAGAGAACTGTATTGTAGGAGTTTCATATGCTCACAGTGAAGGTAAATATTTGTCTCCCCCACTGGAAAGTCGGTGGAGTAATTAAGGTATGTCAGATTGTGCTCCAGATTAGGAAAGAACAGACTTTGGTGAGGTGGGTGGTGTTTTGAGTTATAAGGGTTGATGTTAATATAATGTGCAAAAGATCACCCCTTCACCAAGAATGTTAAATGCTCTGAAGGATGCTTGGGGCTTTTTTATTTGTTTGTTTTTGGTACCAGGGGTCAAACTTGTGACCTCATGCTTGCCAGGCAGGTAAATTTATGCCGCTGAGCTAAATCTCCAGTCCTAGGGAAGCATTTTTGAGCCTTCAGTTTTAAAATATGAAAGGATATAGCATTCGAAAATACCTGTGCCAGTGCAAAAATTTACCTACTTTTTTGGGGAGGAGGGGGGTTACTTCTAGTGTGTATATCTAGAAAATGAATATATCTCATGGAAGGCTCAAAACAGCTAATGCAAAGTGAATTTAACAAGATGTGCAGGTCAGAGACAGGATGGTGTTACATCTTTTGGAGCAACTGTCCCAGTGCATTACTAACATTCTAACTCTGGAATGATAGCCACAGTGGATGTATGATGATATATAGAACCAACGGAGTGACAGGCTTAAATAGTGGGGTGTTTTACTTGACACTGGCCAACTAGAATCTATACTACTTTATTCCACTGATAACCTAAAATGGCTCCTCAGATTAAATCTAGTAACAGAAGTTGTTCCAGGTCCCCTAAATTCGAATTGTTTGATGCTGCCAAAAGTAACATACATGAAAAGAGACTAATTCTAAATGTAATTATGTTACCATCATTTAGTGCAGGTAAAATTGAGACTACTTTGTGAATGATTTTTGTAGAAAAAAAAATCTCTCCTATAATTACAAATAACATAATTATTTACATTAGTTTAGATGTATCTTTGGTATTTTGTGTACAATCTCATCTTACCTGTACCTTTTTTGTTTTACTTTTTGTCATATAAAGTGCTTCTCTTTCTTTTCAAAACTGGATAGAATCTTTAAAAAACTGAATTGTGTATAGTACTGAATAAAATGTGCTGAAATATTTTCAAGGAGTAAGTATTTTTAATCAAAGAATATACAGTAATTGAACATTTTAAAACAAAATAAACTAGAACATTAGAATGGTGAAAATGGAATATAGAAGCACTTTTGCATACTTAGATGCAAAACCATTTGACTTTTTTCCACTTGTAGATGTAATTTATTTATACCAACAATCTGTAACTGGCAAGTTTTAGCAGTAATCCCTTATTCCATAAAATACGAGATAATTTTTTTTTCATTTTATTGAGAAATTATTAATTAGCAGCAGAACAAAAGAATGAGTGAAATGCACCTCATGCATTCTCTATAAAGGAAGATGAAACACAGAATTAGGTACAAATGTTTTTCAAACTTTTCATTCATAACTAATAAAGTATTTCGTTGAACCCTCTTAAAAATCTTCGGAGACCACTTATGGTAGATAGATATTAGGAAATTCCTGACATTGATGTAGGTTATTTATTTTTTTTTTTACCAAAAGTGCTTTTTTTTTCCCATTTCTTTGTGTAATACATTCTTAAATTGCATTTTTAAAAAAGATACATGGTAAGTAAAAGTATGTTAGGGCCTAGAAAGGATGTATATAGTTCTTGTTTCATTTGGTAATAGAACCTATTCTGGTCCTTAAGTTTGCTAAATTGATGCCTGTATTTATAAAAATATATGGGAATATTTTAAATCCCTGGTGTAGTGTCAGTACATCATCATTTTGTAGCTGATGCACTTACCTACCTCCAGTTGGAAAGCAAATCTCCCAGGGTTAAACTATAGTAGATAAACCTTGATCTTAGTTTATGGTGTGGGCTTTGACATCAGACCCTCTACCACTGTACCACTGTTGATTTGATTTTGCCATTAATGGTCACTTGGATTTTATAGTAGCTCTAACCAGAATTCAGAAATCAATGTTGAAAAATTCTTCAGAGGAAAGAATCTTTGAAAAATCTTGAAAATGTCTTCTTTTAAACTTTCTGGAAACTTAGATATGTGGTTGAAACTCAGAAATTTTATCATTTCAAAATATCTCCTTGTAATCTGCATAAAGAAAAAAACCTATAAAATTGCTTTCACTTTAGCCCCAGGTCGGGCATCACTAGTTGAAAATCTGAAATCCAGAATGCTCTAAAATCCATAACTTCTTGAGCATCGTGTTAGGAATGCTTAAATGGTAAAGTTTATATAGGTATTCCAAAATTTGAAGAAAAAAAGAAATCCGAAGTCTGACTCACCACTAGTTTAAGGCATTTTGACTAGGGAATACTGCATCAAAATAAAAAGGTTAATTTAGACTTGGTGACTTTATATACCAAAGGCCTCTTGCTCCCTGTACAGAAGGTGCTGCAAAATTGCAGTTAGATTTTTTTTTTTTTTTTTTTTTTTTTTTTGCGGAACAGACTTCTCAGGACATGCATCAAAGACATTTGTATTTCCAGTGTCTTACAAACTAATTGGTTGTCTCATAGTCAGGTTGGGTTTGTGCATTTCTGGGTTAGCATTTCTCATTGGCATCAGCAAGAGAAATTCTAGTAGCAATAGTGGTGAAAAATAAGAGGTTTCTGCTTGCTTTTGCTTTTTTTTTTTTTTTTTAATTTTACTCAAGTGAGTAGGTAAAATACTTGAAAATTTCTTCTGGGGTCAGATGATTGATTTACTCTCTTACTCCCCTGGGAATTTAAACTGTAAACATAATAATACATGCTAAGGACTTACTTCGCAAGTTCTTTTAATATCTTCTTCTAATTATTCCATTCATTTTTAGTTCTTAGTTTGTATTGAAAGGAAGAATATAACAACTAGAATTAGCACTTCACAGGAGAGTTAAATTTCAGTGGAATAAATGAATTTATAAGTAATATTCAAAAGAAACAAAATATTTGACCTTTCTATAAAAACTTCTATTAACATAAAACTACTGCCATCCATTTATATAATCTTACTTTACCCCATTTAAGTTAAATTGAAGCAAAATGTTAATATTTTAATAGCTTCCATTTGAGTACTTTCATATATTTTCTCTTACAACTGCAAGACCTTTTCATTTTATTTCACAGGTTGCTATTTTTTTTTCTCATCATTTAAAGTTATGAGAACACTTTTATCCCATCAAGAAATTCTTAACAAAAAAACTGCAAAGCCTTTCCGTTTGTATTTAGTAGAACAACCACTCTGATGTAATTCTGTAATTGAAAAATGAAGATAAGTGAAAAGTGGTCTCTTGGTTTGAATGTGTCACGTCAGACTTTCCTCTTCCAGATACGTGTGATTCTTAAACTAGATTGGATTTTCTTTTTCCCTTGGTAGGTGTACTGGTCCATTAGCAAATTCTCTTTCAGAGAAAACAAGAGACTCAGTAGCGGAAGATGACGATGAATACAAGATTCCTTCATCCCATCCAGTGTCCCTGAACTCACAGCCATCTCATTGTCATAATGTAAAACCTCCTGTTCGGTAAGAATCGGGCAGCTCTGCGCCATTTACATCTGCATAAGCATTCTCACCTGTGGGGTCTGTTTCTGTGTAGTTGAATCACATATTTGGCTAACATCTTTGATTTTCTATTCAGTCTCCTCTTTTTACAATCTGTTTTCTGCACTGCATTCACAGGGTCCTAAATGTAATGGGATTTTTTGTTATTGTATTCCCAAAAGCTCCAGATTATACTCTGAACAAAACTGTGGCTATTACATATAATCCTCATTAATGATACTTTTTAAGAAGCCGTTTTAATGTATTTTGTGACTTCCAGTCACACATCATGAAGAAAACTTAGTGTGGAGAAACAGCGCTACAGACTTCCTTTGGGTTTTTCTTTATGATGTAGAGACTAGTAGTTTATTTTCATTTCCCTTCTTGGGGAAGCCACCCGCTTCTATTCAGTTTTTAAATTGAAATAAAACAACAACAAAGTTACTTCTCTGAACTGATTCTTGATCGAGTTCTAGTTCACCTTCCCTTGGGTCACATAAGCGTGTACTCTACTTTTTGTGGTCCCCCGCCCCCATGGTTTGTTCTCTAATGTGGATGCTCTTGCTCTGTGGTGTGACAGTCACATTGAAGTATAGTCAATAATGGTTGGTTATGTGCTGAAATACTATTTTGCCATTAAGCAAAAGCATGATTCAGCATGTGTGCAGTTGAATTGGTAAAGAAATACTTGTGTATTTTTTTAATCTTGCTAACATATATGAGCCACTTTATGATCAAATCTCAGCTTCAGAACAACTTTCTGAGTTCAGTTCCCAAGTCACTGTCCTGAGGCTGCTAGTCTTCCTGTCCAGCATCTCCTGACTGAATGAGGGCTGTTCTGACTTTGGGTGCCGTTTCCTTTCCAGGTCTGATCAGTTAACTAAAAACATTTTATGAGTGACAAGTTTCCTTCTTTCCAGATGAAATGACTAAATGTGGAGTTTTGTTTGTTTTTGATACTAGGGGTTGAGTCTAAGATCTTGTACGTGCTAGGCAAGCAGTCTAGCATTGAGCCAAGTACATAGCCCTTCTTAAAATTTTTGAGACAAGTGCTCTCTCAAGTAGCCCAGTTTGGCTCCGATTTGTGATCCTCTTGTCTTAACCTCCTGAGTAGCTGGGATTACAGGTGTGTACCACCATGCCCAGCCGAAAAGTGTTTTAGTGCCTCTTTTCAAGTGTCTCACTGAGGCAGAAAATGAAATACAATACTAGGAAAAGAAAAATCTTTGTTGTAAGCAGAGTTCTGACTTAATAACTGAAGCTGCTTAGAATTAGCAACACTGCAGACTTACTAACTAGGATTAGTAAACACTGCAATCCAGGATTTCATTTTTCAAAGTAAGAACCAACATACTGCTAGCTAGCTAATTGTTGGTATTAAGAAATTTGTTGATAGGATAGAATCATTGAAAAACAAACAGATTGAGAAGCAATTTGTTGTATCGGAAGAACCAAATCTCTTCTGATCTGTTAGAGAAAAAATTTACTCCTCATCAAATAAAAATTGTTACAATTGTTCTTCGGTTTGGCTCTTACACAGATGTATAGTAATATTTAAAATCTCAAAAAGATTAAGCCCTTCGTCTCCTTGGGAGTCTTAATGTTTTTATTGCCAGACAAAAGAGGGGTATAATTTTAATATGTTAAATTTTAATTTTCACATTGTAGTGGATGAGATTTTGATGGCAGGCCTCCTGAATCCTGAAAATAAATTTGAATTATAACCGCCATTACTATCTTTCAACTGATATAGAGAAGTAGTAAATGTTGATCGTCCTTAACCTTAATTGTAGGGAATTCTTTATCTAATTTTTTTTTTAAAGTTGATGGCTATAGTGTCATCTTATGCCCTCTCTAAAGCACTCTTCAGCCCAAACAATTCCTTTCCCTGTGTGTTTTCCCCCTTTGAAACATGAGAGGAAATAAATTGTCAATACATAGAAAAAAATGAAATGGTAAATGAATAATTCAATTCAGTTGCAGTAAAAAAAATCCATCATTATTATGAAGATTCAATACACGATAACTATTTTTAAATGAACCATGTCTGGCTCCTTAAAGAGAAGTGGCCACCAGAGAGAATAGAAATGAATTTCAGATGAAGCAATCTTGCAATATCTATTCAAATATCCGTGATCTCCTCCATTATGTATGTACTTTGACTTTGCTCTAAAAATTCACAGTAATTCAGAGAAGAGTAAAATGTAAGCTTCACTCTGTCACTCTTCGTTAGATGATTGTTACACAGCTAGATGCTGAAGGCAAAGTATGCCCGGCACCTTCTATTCCTACTGCTGTTTTCCTGAGTTCAAGGTATGGCCCCAGAGTATCGGTGCCAAAAACAACATAGATGTGTTTCTAGTGAATATCATTGCTTTTTATAAACACCAGAGTTTAAATGCTAGTTGTATAATCGAGGCCTTTAATAAAGGCGTATTTCTAGAGTGTCAGAGACCCAGAATTTATTCATGCTGAGTATAAGCAATAGTATTGCAGGCTCTGGGTCTTCAGATATTCCTGTCAGAATTTAATGGAGTTACTGAAAGCTAATGTTTCACTTTTGTGGGCTGCAAATTTTATTAAAAATCTTAAGTTACATAAATAAAAATAGTAATGCCATCAACAGACAGTGAAGTTGTTGTAAATGTGTATTCTTTGCCTTAGCACTTACTTCTTTTTGACTTGAAAAATTGGGCTAGATACTAGTTTCACAGCATTTAAACTATCAGCAATTTTTGTGGCCCTCCAAATTTTTAGTTTCAGTTTAAAAAATGAAAGAGGAAAACTGTTTGTCTCCTAGATATTTCCTTCTGATTTTTGAAACAAAGGGAATACCACCTAGCTACTATCAGTGATTCTTCTTCCAGAAAAGATGCTGTATTTATTTTCAAACTTCACTATAGATACAAGGATGCCAGGCTTCTCTATGCACCTCACTCAAGGGAATTTAAAATAGACCCTTCAGTGCTGATCTGATCTGTCCTCTGATTTCTGTTCTAGGTCCTGTGATAATGGTCATTGTGTATTGAATGGAACTCACGGTACGTCTTCAGAGATGAAGAAATCCAACATCCCTGAATTAGGCATATATTTAAAGGGTAGGTATAGCATATATTCTCCTTTGTGGTCTGCACTGTAATGGTCAGAACTTAAAGGCAAAACTCTGTGCCATTGTTGTACTAACAATACAATAAGGTTTTGTGTTATCCTCTAGGGGATGTTTTTGATTCAGCCTCTGATCCAGTGCCATTATCAGCTGTCCAGCCGCTGACTCGGGACAGTCCAAAGCATGGCTCTTCGCTCAACAGGACACCCTCTGGTTATGATCTGCTCCTGCCTCCTTTAGGTTAAAATCTTTTAAAAACATTTTAAGTACCTTTTCCCTTGCCTCTTATGTGCACATTTGCATTGTCAGAACCCAGAGTTCGATTCCTGGGTTGTGAATCTACCTGATACTAGGATGGGTTCTCTGGGTGATGATGTGACCATTACTGTACCTAGATAATCACAATGATTACATATAAAGTAGTTTTCATTAAGTCACAAAATTATGGGTGGTTTTGTGATAATTTTTATGCTTTTGTGTATGACTGATTTTTCTATAGTACAATTCTTTTGTAATCAGAATAATAGTAAATCAAGATAAATAGTGGTTAGTTTCTCATACAATTCTTTTAAAACTTAAAAAAAAATGATGGTATAAAAACTGGTCATCAATTAGGGTTTTATAAAATTTTTTCTTACATAATAGATGAACCTTAAAAACACAGGCACATCTTCTCTTCCCCTGCCCTGGTGTTCTTGCAGTTTTGAAGTGATGATTTGAAGATTTAAATTTAATAATTCTAAATAAATGTGAATTTTTTTTTCGTCATTAAGTGACCAAATTCTCACTAATGCTAACTAAATTATGGAAAATGATACACATATTTGTAGAAAACTATGAATTTTGATTTATTCTTACTATTAAAAATATAACACATCCAAGGAAATTCACTTTGTTTCACATTATAAATAAATAATGTGTGTTTGTGTATGTATACCTGTGAAGGTACAGTTAAGCATGTATCTGTGATGTGATCAAAAAATAGGAATTTAAGTTCTTAATTTATCACAGTAAAATACACATTGCCATTAAGTTTCCCTGAAATACTCCCCTTCTTGGCTAATACCCTCATCACATCATTCTTGCTATGTTCTGAAGCCCTTCTGGAAGAGATTTTATTGAGTGTCTCTAGTTACACTACTGATTCAAAACGTTGACCTTTCTTGGTCATTTTGATTTAGAAGAAGAGCCAGAAGTTACACAGTGCCACATCCTATGAATAAGGAGAGGACACACTGTTTTCATAAGCTTGCCTTTCCATTGGATGGCACATGGCAACAGGATTCACCAATTTCAATCACACTTACAAAGATGCTTATAAAACAACTTCAGCCCTCTTTGAGAAAGTAACAAGAACCAGGGAATAAGTGTTTGAAGTGAAGAGCTGAATCTTCAGGGTGATTAATGGCAGTGTAATGTGTCTTTTATCATAATACCATCTTTATTTAAATGTAGATTACATTTTTCGATTAGCCCTTGTATCTTTAAGTTGGCTGGTTCCAGTGTCAGCAATTTTAAGCAGAAACTTCCTTCATTTTACAAAGCACTCCTGTGGCTTCACCGTAACAGAGTATGACACATGTGAAGGTCTATTTATAAACCCTTCTGAATTATCTGTTAGGTCACTAGAAATATGAATCAACTTTTGTATTTGCTCATAAACACTATTTTCAATTGTGGTGTCTTTTATTCCTATTACTTCTGTAGGTCAGGGCTTTAGTCTCACTTACATTACTTACACCTGGGTGCTAACACAACATTGTCTCAACTTGTCCTGCACATTGGCTCTTGACCCATGTCTTCCTGACCTAGATCGCCCTTTCTGTGGAGATCTAAAGGAATTTTTCTTATTTTAAATTTAAATAGTTGTATGTGCTATCCTCCTTGGATAATTCACATACATACTGAAATTTATGACTTCACTCTGTCCTGCCTCTAGCTTTTCTTGTCCATTTAATTTATTGTTCATCATATTCACTCAGCTTGGAAGACCCCATCCTTACATTTCATGAATACATGTTTCAAGCCCTCTGGTATTTTAGGGTCTCCACCTATTCAGCAATTCATGGAATGCCCCTTGTCTGCATTTCTCTTTTCTTTCAGTGTTTTTCTCTTTTATGTGACCAACCACATTCCACCTGTGAATCATACCTGTGAAGATTTTCTTTAGCTTCCCTGATGGAATCAGAGTTTCTTAAATCAGAGCCTTATGATTTTGATCTTTGTGTGTATCAGTTACCTAGGGTAATGTCTGATATATAAATTTTGAACATGGTAACATGACAGCTAATGGTGGAATGGTAACAAGCTCACCTGTATCTTCAGATATTTTAAATTGGCAAAGTATTTTGACGACTAAAAGAAAATACTCTATGTTTTTGTGAGGGAAGCTCATTGAATGGTAAAACTATTTTTTAATGTGTCTTTATGCTTAAGTTACTCATCTTAAAAACATACAAATATTTATTATGAGAAGTAGATATTTTCTTTATTTTTCTAAAGAATCAAAGATAAACTGACAAAAATAGGAAGTTGTAACAAGGGAACGTAAAATTACAGTATACTTTATACTTACTAAAACTGAGAGATAATCAAATATAAGTATTAGGTTTTTAGACCACAAAAGGGGATCTATATTTAACTGTTCTTTAGGGGGGAAAAAAATACATTCCTGTGCTCTAAGAGCGTTTTTTGTGTATTTTTACAATAAATGTAATATTTGCAACATTAGTTTAAATGAATTAAAATTGAGTGCAAAAACTTTATGGCTAATCTAAGCCATCCTTTGACATTAAATCATACGTGCATGATGTGATTTTCTAATTACAGGCTGTGAATTCTTTGTGTTACACAGAGAAATCTATTTTGATGGTGGGAATGACGATAATTTTTAGTTCAATGTTCCAGTGCATTAATAATTTAAAGGTTACCGATGAACTATGGTATAACCTATTTCATAACTTTCAATGCTGTTGTGTATAGAAAGGCATGGGATATAGTGGCAGTTTAAGAGAGTATTTGAATGTGTGTTTTTCTGTCCAGATACGCCTACAAAATAATTAGATCTCATTATCAAAGTCGGTGAACTTCTGAAAAACCCTGGCAGTTAAATTCTTTATAAGCAGCAAGAGAAAATCACTCACTGCTTTTGCTTGATACTGAGTGTTTCCATTCATGAAGTTCTGCTGTTGATACTGACCTTTCTTTAAATGCAGGTGAAGATGCACTCCCCCCATCACTCCCTCCTCCTCCGCCTCCTGCAAGGCATAGTCTCATAGAACATTCGAAACCTCCTGGCTCCAGTAGCCGACCATCCTCAGGTCAAGACCTTTTCCTTCTTCCTTCAGGTAGGAAAACAAAGCCAAAGAAAACTATTCACCTACAGCAAAAGTATTTCTAAAACCATTGCTGTTGAATGCTTGTTTGTGATTCTTGAGCCCCCACCACCCGAAGAGAAAAGCTTGCATTTGGGTAGGTTTGTTTGTCCATTGATTTAGTGCCAGAAAATATTAAGAACGTGGCAAAAGCAACAGGGAATTGTAGAATTAGAAGCAGAGTACTAGAGCATCCAGTGCACATAGTATCTGAATTTAACAAAAGGCATCCTGAAAAACCAGAGTGGCTAAATGAGCTCAAAGTAAGAGGGATAGAATTTAGGCTTTGCATCCCCAACTGTACCAACTATAATTCTTTTTCTAATAATAGTTTTTAAATTTTAGGTACACCATACTGTCATAATTTTATTTGAAACAAAGATACTGGTAAAATACATTACTATATCAAGGACAGAAATTTTCTCTGAAATAGCTCCATCTTGTTATTTTATAATGATTTGTGTGTCTACTCAAACTGTTGTTCTTCAAGGGCAAATTAATATTTTCGTATTAATATACTTTTAAATGTATTGAGTTATACAAATAAAATTGAAGACACAGTAGACTTTACATTAATTCCAATAACCAGAAAATAGTTGGAGCTGCTGATACTAAATGTCTTTTCTATCCTGTTAGTGACAGTGTGCTCTGTGCTCTGAAATGTTTTGCCTCTAGGTGTGGTTTTAGTAAAATGTAAAGTTTAAAAAAACTTTGCTTTATATTTCTGTGTGACATCAATCATGAAAAACTTTTTAAAATGCTGTTTTTATTTTGGCTACCTATATTTCTCAGTGAAAATCAGGGAGTATTAACCATAATTATTTCCCTTAAGTAATTGTCTCTTTCAGCATTTATTTTCCACTTTTTAAAAAACTTTGGTGTACTAATTTAGAAAGTCTGAAGATATTTAATGAGATGCAAATTATGGTTGTATAACTGTATACATAGTTTTATTTTCTAAAAGTGGCTTATTTTCATAATTCAATATGTATGAATCAGTAATCATCAGTAAATATTGAGCTCGCCACTGTCTCAGTCAGGCTGCCACCTGCCTCCCAGGGCTTAGGATCTCCATTCGGTCCAAGCAGGAAGCGTGGATAAATCACCTGCTAGCCTTTACCATGTAGCCTTCGTATCAACTGATATATTTTGGGGTTTTTCACTTATACTAGCTGAAACCTTTGCTTTTACAAGTGGACTTTGATTTTGAATGAAATAGTTCTGAGTGACTTAAGCTTTGCTGATGCTACGTTCTCAATAGTTTCGCTAGATTCCTATAATGTCCTGAGAACCTTTTATAAATGTGACATTTTTCCCAGTAGATGAAGTCTCAGTGTAGTTGTTTCTTTTAAAATAAAGTCAGTGTTGCAGTGAGATAGCAGGGAATATTTTATGCAGATGCCCACTTTTGCCTGTTTTTTTTAATTATAAAATGTTTTAAGTCTTCATAATTTTATTACTCATTGACTTACACAAAATCATCGTAAATTATCTCTCAAGATTAATTGCTGCAAAAATTAGTACTTCAGGGGCTGGGGATTTAGCTTAGCGGCATAAGTGCCTGCCTTGCAAGCAGGCAGTGGTGAGTTCGATCCCCACTACCAATAAAAAGGAAAAAGACCAAAAAAAAAAAAAAAAAAATTAGTGCTTCAGACTGAAATCTACCTCTGTCTTTTTATCTAAAAGAAAGTTATGGAAATCACTTTATTTCATTTGTACATTTGCTTGTTTCATTTTTGGTTGATTGTCCAGCAGCTCAACAAGTCAGGTAGCCCAGACCGTGAGGCTGGGGGTGTGATAATGGCCCCACTTTCTAGGGCGAAGAATTGTCGTTCTGTTCCCAAGAACACTGATATTCCTTCCTACCCACACTTCTAAGAAAAATGGGGAAATCTTTTCCATTCCAATTTTTCATGCTATTAGCAAGACAAATTTCTAGTCTGGCATCAGATCCTGTAAGATCTTCATTGTAGTGTTTATATTTTATTTAATTTAAAGTCATACATATTAGCTCTCTTGCTTTTTAAAATAAATATTTTAATTGTTTTATATAATATCGTAGAATATTAAGGTTTCCTGTGGCTCATAAATAAGCATTTGAGTATAACTTGGCAAAAAATTAATAGATTACCTAAAAATTGTAGATTTGTGTGGCAGCTGTTCTTTAATTTAAAAATTAAACTTCATGAAAGAATATCCTCTTGCTGCTACAGTTGAGTTCATTAGAGTTAGAATCTTAAAAGGAAAATAACGTGCCAAACTAAAACTGAGCATCTGACTACTGGTTTGCCCTGCTACTTAGTCTATGCAGTCTTATTGTAGTACAGTGATAAATGTTTCCTAAGCATTATTAAGATTTGGCTTCCTCCAGGAAATTATTATTCCTAAAGACTTAAGATAGCTGGGTTAGAAAAAGTGGTTGGATTTTCTCATGATGATATATGAAATTCCTGATTAGATCTGCCCACTGACTTCTTTATAGTTACAGTTTTCAAATGACAGGGTTGTCTTTCTGCAAAGCAACCTCCTAACTCCTGTAGGAACAAGGAGAGGAAGCCAAGCAGAGCCGTGAATGTGGTCCTTCCTTTATCTGGTTTCTGTTTAGGCTTTCATACAAGATATCCTTTGGCAAAGTAGCAGTGCCCATTTCTGTACAGGAGTCGTTTCTTTGGACAGGATAATCATATCTTAACAAAACCTGGAGTTCTCAACAAAAGCTTCATGCTTTTTTGTCATTTATGTTTTGTTCTGTGATACAAAAAATCATTCTTTTTGTGCCGGTGGGCTGAAATAGGAACCCCTTCTGCCATTCCATGCCAGGTCTTGTGCTTGAGGAACAAAACAAGGGCCAGCATTTCAGCTTGCTGCTTCTCTTTTTTGGATATCTCTGTGAAGTGTACAAAACTTGAACAGCACAGTGGCACCTTATGCCACCTTTCTTTCAGTATACCTTTAAACCAAGAATTTCTTTGGAAGTCCTTATCCAATCTCAAAGTCATAATTCAACTCTCAGCAACTGACAAAATTGACTTTATTAAAAATGAATGAAACTTTCTCCAGTTAAACTCAGAAATGCAGTTGTATAACACATAGAACACAAAGAAAGGCCAGGTCAGTAGCAACAATTATTGGAAAGAATTTAAAGGGTATTGTTGACTACAGTCTTTCTAAAGCACTGTTGGGGATAGCCACCTAAGGAACACCTGCCATTTGGGGATTGCACCGACAGGTTTGAAACTAAGGGAGTCAGGCCAGTGCTCAGCCTGCATGAAGTAGTAAAGGACCGGACAGCAGAGATTCTCAAACTGTATTCTCCAGATCAGCAGCATCTGCTACGTCGAAGGATCTTATTTGATACGAAAATTGAGGACCTTAAATCAGAAACCCAGGGCATAACACCAAAAGAATATGTCTTCACAAGCCCGTTGGAATATTTTTATGGTACTTAAATTTTAGATATACTGGGCTAGATGTTACCAAAGATATACTAGAATGGCAAAGGAAATTTATATTACTCTTAGAAAACCACAGTGAATTAAAGTAACTCAAGATGTTCAGCCCATAGATATACATTAGAATTTTCTGCAGTTACAATATCTGTAAAAGATGGGTCATATTTATTTCATATCATCTCAGATAGTAGAAATAACTCGAGAGGCAGGAGGACTGCCACAAGTTCAAGGCCAGCCTGGGCTACTTGAACGGCATAGCAAGACTATTAAAAAAAAAAAAAATCATCATACCTTGAGTAGTGAGGTCTGAAACACTAAGATTTCAGTCCAGGAGTATGTCATTGCATTTTGGCAGTTTTATGAATGTGAGTTAAAGGGTAAGAGCAGCAAAAACAAAAATTTTATCTTACCTAAATGCTTCAAACCCTTTGCCTCAATTATATTCTACATTGGTGTCCTCTTTTAAAATCTTCTAAATTATAAACAACACAAAACAATGTGCCATTGTTCTAACTGTTCAGTTTTGTCTCTTCTTTTACACATAAGTAAAGGTTAGAAGTGCTTCAGGCCGTGCTATTTTTAATTTGTATATTTTGTAGATTAAAAACTCCCTGGAGACTAAAGCTTTGGAATATTCAAATTTTATGCAGTAATTATATATTTGGGCCTTCTGAAAAATCAGAGGTCAACATTTTTGCACATTTGACTTATCTCATTCCCTCCTAAAATATTTAGGCAAAGTTCATGTGACTGGGCCATCAAGTCTTCAAATATGGAAAGCTCAGGCCACAATACAGTGGCATGTGTCTGTGATCTTAGCAGTCCGGGAGTATGAGACAAGACAATTAACAGTTTCAGCCTGGAAAGCTTATCAACTTAGCACAACTAACCCTAGCTCAAAACTTTAGTTATTTTAATGCTAAAATTAATGAAAGCCAAGTTAAATTACCTTGTACCACAAAGTTCCCAGCAAAGCTGATGATGACCAGTCTAAAATAAATAAAATAATAACTAATGGTTTTGATCTCGCCTTAACATTCACTATACAAAAATTGGTAGATAGTAGGAAATTTTAAACATTCATTTCTACCTAAATTCTCAGACTCAGTGTCAGACTCAAACTAATAAAATAAAAGGTATTCTCAATGTTTATAACTGGCTTTTGTTAGCCATTCAGCCTTCATTCACTTTGATGAAAAACTGGAATCTGTGTATAAATATACACAGATCTTTAGTAGCTCAAAGAAAACATTTATTAAGTATGAGCTGTTTGCCAAGCAGTGACAGTGATGTATTTGAGTTAGGAGATTTAAACAGTATGAGGCAAGATCCCACCACTGGAACTTGTGGTACCTCCAGAGATGCTGCCAACAAGATAAAGCAGCTCGAGAGACGAATGCAGAGCCGAAGGGACAGGCGGAGAAATACTGATGGATCCATGATCTCGGAGATAATATAGTCATCTACTTAGAAAAGGAGTCAGCTCTAAGGATTTGACCCTACTTTCTACTAATTTTAAACCACTTAAATTTATGGTCCTAATGATTTAATGCAATAACACTGGAAATACCTGTTTCTCCCTTTAGTGCCACTTAGTGAGCATCATTAATAATAAAATAATTTTAATTTATTTGTAATTTACATTTTTCATAATCTCAGACAGCCTATTCCTGATTGCTAAGGTGAATAAAAGGTATATTGTAATCTATAATCATACCTTAATGTTAGTAAGGAGATGGTTTTTAACAAACAGTTTTATTCTTCATTGAACCAGCAAATAATTCTGATTCTTAGCTTAGGCGATCGAGCATATTGACATTAATATAAGCACTCTATATGTACAGAAGATTTTTAGATAGATAAATTCACTTAATCCCCACAAATCCCAAATTTCAGGTCAGTTTTACAGATTTTTGTCTGCCTAATGCTTAGAGAGATTAAGCAATTAGATAACACTCTAAAAGGAAAGATTTAAACACTTTTTCTTTGAAAGAGCTTCCATTCATTGCAAAGGATGGGTTGGGACAGAAACTATTTCTATCACCAGCAAGTTTATAATTAAGAAATCTAATGAGTATGAATTTTTTTTTTTCGGTCTTTTTCCTTTTTATCGGTACCGGGGATCGAACATACAACTGCCTGCCTGCTAAATCCTCAGCCGCTGAGCTAAATCCTCAGCCCCATGAGTATGAATTTTAAAAATGTTATAAATACAAACTTACCCGGAAATAAACGGGACTAGCACATTGGAGCTAAATAAAATACGACTAATGTGAGCCACCTTCTACTCTACATGCGTAAGATTAGCTAATTTATTTTTGAAAGCTATAATCATTATAAAAGAATTCTACAATTTTTTCTCCAGCTAATCAACAGAGATAATCTCTTTGTAATTTCAAAATTTATCTTTCTTTTTAAGATCCATTTTTTGACCCAGTAAGTGGCCAAGTTCCTTTGCCTCCTGCTAGAAGATTACCAGGAGAAAATGTCAAACCCAGCAGAACGTCACAGGATTACGACCAGCTTCCTTCCTCATCAGGTGAGCTGGCTATTGATAGTGAGAGGTGAGCTCACCTCATCAGGTGAGCTGGCTACTGATGATACGACTAACTGGATAGTGCTTTTTGCTGTTCAGAGCACCTGTTTTTTTCTTTTGTATAGAGTGCTGCCTGCCTAAGTAAGTATTTATTTTTATCACCTTTGCATTTTGCTTGTGAAACCTTTATGAAAGGAATGCCCACAGAAGGACTTCAGGGAAAAAAGGAAAGCAGGCTTTATATTATATTTGATCAGTCCATGCAGCCACATTCATTCACTCAAGATTTGTATTCACCTTATTTTGCCTTAATACATTGGGAAAATGCGCAAAATCACTTGACAGTGAACTGTGGTGTTCCTTTATTTTTGCATTAAGACAAAATCTCTTTAGAATAATAACAGCACAAAACTTAGTATTAAACAAGCTTATTAATTCAGTGAGCTTATTCGGATCTCCTGTACCATGCTCCAGTGTAATCATCAAGTAGAGTGTTCTATTGCAGTAAATGTAAGTGAGACTCATACCATTCATAATGAAATGCTTCTATATGCTTCCAGAAAATTAACAGAAATAAACTTTGTAACTTGTGAATCAAGGTAAATAATGAGCTTCTTTGAGAGATATCAACATGGCCATGATGCTATGCACAGAAAATGCAGAATTCCCTCTATAATTTTATAAATTGTAACATTTGAGGAAAGCACAAAAAATGTTAACCTTTTCAAATTTTATTGTGTGTTCTTTTATCACTTTAAGTAGCACAGAGGTTTCAAGATATGTTTATGGGCAGCTTGTAGTTCTACTAAATTGTCTAACAAAACAAAACATGAAACCAAGGAGAGAAAATATCTGACAGCCTCCATACAACATAAGGGAATAACTCCTTTAAGAAACAGTGTTTAAAAAAACAACTTAAAAAATCAATTCTTGATTAAAACAAACATTCCAGTTATGGGAAGACTTGTGGCCAAAAACACTAGTTTTGCAGCTTCTTTATTGTTTGATCTATATATAGTGCATGGATATTATAGAGCCTAGAGAAACATCAGTCACGTGTATTACTTTAGGCTGCGTGAAGTTTAGTTAGCTCTTCACTAAAAATTTCAGAAAGAACTGTAGCAAACTTTGCTGAAATTCCCAGATAGCTATTTATCCAAAAAACCTAAAAGTACTCTTTACCTAAGTAATAAAGAAGTACTGATTATTACTCTGAGAGTCTCAGTGAACTGTAACATCAACTGTCTCAACCTACTCCCTAAATTCTTTACAAACACAATTGTTTTACTGTCTCATTGCTGGCACAAAGTAGAAGTTTACTTGGCTCACAATTTATAAAGGTTTCACTCCATAGTTGACTAGCTCCAAGACACAGCAGCATGGCAGAGGAGAACAGTCCGTGGCAGGGAAGCAGGCAGCAGCAAGACTTCTTCCTCCTTTCCCTTTTTATTCCCTCCAGGCTGCAGGCCTGTTGGTTGGCACACCCACACCTGGAACTACCTGTCCAGTGGTGTCACACATCCATGATCTAGTAACTCCCCAAAACCCACACCTCTGAGCTCCATCTCTGGTTCTCTGTTATGTATATTTGAGCGGCTTAAATATATAAAACTACCGGAGGGGATCTAAGACAACTTTATTGTTGTGCATTATTTTCGTTTTGTGATACAGGGGACTTAGCGAACTAGGGACCCTTCCACTGAACTACATTCCAGCCTGTTTTACTTTTCTTATTTTGAGGCAGAGACTCACTCAGTTGCCCTGACAGGACTTAAACTTGTGATGCTTCTGCGGTTACAGGGGCATACCATTGCATCCAGTTCTTCTGGGTGTTCTATGAAATACAGAAGTAATGCATGTACTTTAGAAAGGAAAATGAAATTACAGGAAAAAAAAGTAGTCATGTATAATCCTATCCTCAGTAAGGAATACTATTTCCATTTTGAATTGCTTCCCTCTTATGGTTTGTCTGTACTTATTTTTACCTAGTTAAGGTCATAATTGGTGTCGGTTCTGCCTCAATTATGTTTAACATAGTATCACAAATATCACATCATTAATTTTTTAATAAATGCCATTTTATATTGTATGATAGTTCATTTTTATGTGGTATTAAATACTTAAGTATTTCAAAAATCTAATGGAAACCCTAACTTTATATAGAGAAAGCTAATCTATTAAATGTCTTTGCTTTTGTTTAGAAATGTGGAAACTGGGTTGATACTAAACAGCAATAAAGCAAGTAAAAAAGTGGGAAATGTGTTCAATAAAACAGCATTCCTGCTGTCATGCAAAATGGTGTGGTAGAGGAAGCCTCTCTCCTCGTGGTGGGCAGGAAGCAGCAAGTCAGGGGAGAGCATACAAGAGTAAAGGGTTCCAGAAAATCTGAAAAGGTCACGTCACAGTGACATATGTGCGCCCATGTTTATAGCAGCACAATTTGTAATAGCTAAGTCCTGGAAACAGCCAAAATGCCCATCAACCACAGAGTGGGTGAAAAGATGTGGTATTTTCATACAAAGTAATATTAGTCAGCTATAAAAAGGATGATCCCGAGGCCTTTATAGGTAAATGAAGGCAACTTGAGATCATACTCATAAGTGAAATATATAAGATTCACATTAGTAAATATCACATTGTCTCTCTAGTGTAAGAATTAATTAAAAACTGAAAAAGTAATAAGACTCAAAATGTATAATAGATACTGTAAAAATGAAAGGGAAGAAAAGTGCTCTATAGGATACAGATATAAGTGTATAAGATAGATGACCATATTACTAAATTCTTGTTGGATCTTTGAACAGAACGGTTTTCACTGCTAATATTTGAGTGTATCCACTTTTATGCTTTGATTTTGTAAGTTAAATAACTTTCTAAGATGACAATATGTAATGTATCAACTAGTGGTTTCTTAGTGTTAATTTTTTTTGGTTGAATTCTATACTATTCCACCCTTCTTTTCTATTTCGTTTTTGTCTTTCTTTTTTGCTTTAAATAAATAAACAGAAAAGAGTAAAGGATTATTGACCATGTAACAGTCCACAAGTTTATGACCCCATGAGCTTGTCCTTCCAGCTAACTAGTCCTTACCTCCTGGTTCCATCACCTCCCAGTATTGTCAGCAAATTATCTTATCAACTGATCACTGCACTCAGGAACTTAGAGCCCTCATGGTCCAGTCACTTCTCCAAAAACCTTTCAGTTGATAACCAAGCCTTTACCATGTGAGTTTTTGCTGACATTTCAAATCTAAGCCTTAGTAACCATCAACTACTATCAGTGTAGATTCCGTAGATACACAGCGTTGTGTCTGACTCTTTCTTTTACTTTATCATCTGCCTGTACAAATTCTTTTAGGTATTTGCTTTTTCCTGATTGTTCGTTACTTCATGTACAGTGAAAGTTGAATATCAGATGCATTTTATATTTCTATGTACAGTGGTTCTGTTAAAACCGTTTTAGCATGTAAGGTCATTTTTGTTTGTCTGGAAATAGCTGTTTGTGCTTATAAGGGCAATATTGCTCCTATCTAGAATAAAGGGCTTGTCTGGATTTCTCTCGCTATTATTTCTGCCATGCTTTTATCAGGCTGATTCCATTGTCATTCATAACTTTGCTCTCCAGTATGTGAATCAAGATTTTAAACCTGAACTTTTTAGTTCTTCTTCCTAAAGACTAACTCTGAACAACACAAGAACCAATGAAAAATAGACAACCATATGCATGAAGTTGCTTTAAAGTCTTGTTTTATATGAAAAACCTTCATGTAAACCTTGCATTTTATAATTTGCTATAGCTGCATTTTAATAATGGCAAATATTCATGTCCCCACATATGTGAGTAAAATTGATACTCAAGGAAGATGTACCAGTGTACATCCTGTGTGCAATTATGTGTCTTTCATGTTCCTGTACTTCTTTTGGAACACTAGTAGGGGCATAAAAAACACCACAAGCAAGGATAGCAACCTTGCAGCATTGATAGGATCTTGCTTTAAAAAATAACAAAAAACACTTGTTAATGGAGTTTGGTGTATTTTCATACATGTGTGCAGTGTGCCTTTATCAAATCCAGCCTCCTTTTTTCTCTTGGCTCCCGTTGTTCCCAGTCTCTGGTAATCACTGTTTTATTTGTCTTTCATTTTCACATATGAGAGAAAGCATTGTCCTTGTCTGCCTGTGTCTGGGTTATTTCACTTAATCTAGTATCTGCCAGTTGTCTACCTATTCCGCTGCCTGTGACAGAATCCCTTCTTTGTGGCTAAATAATACTCTGTATTCAGTACACACGACATTGCCTTTATCCATTCATCTTTTCGTGGGTACCTAGCGTAAATACCTTCCTTATTTTAGCTATCATAAATAGGCTGCAGTAATCATGGACGTGCAGGTATGTCTTCGGTACACTGATTTCATTTTATTTGCCTATAAACCCAAGAGTGTAATAGCCAATCATCGTCTTTCTGTTTTTAGTTTTTATTGAGGAACCTCTAGACTGTTTTGTATAATGACTATATCAATTTACATTTTCACCAACAATAGTAAGAGTTCCTTTTTTCTGCATCCTCTCAAGCAGTTATTTTTTACTTTCTTGGTAGTGTCCCTTCTAACAAGAATATTGTGGTTTGACTGCATTTTGATTGTTAATGATACAAATATGAATAAATGTATGAAAAACAGTATTTTTTAAAGTGTCTATTCAGATAATTTGCCAGTTTTTTCATTGGATTACTTTTTTTCCCTACCTTCTTTGTATATTCTGAAATAAACCCTCTGTCACATGAATAGTTGGCAACTAATGGAAGTTCTTTTCAGTCCTGTCTCCCATGTTAACGGTTTTTGACAAACCATTTCATTGCCTATAACATCATGAAATGCTTTACTTATTTTTTCTAGTAATTTCAGATTTTACACTAATCTCTGATTCAATTTGAGCTGATTTTTGTTTCCAGTAAAAAAAATTAGGGAATCTGGTTTCTTTCTTCTGTATTTGGATGCTGGTTT